TTCAATAGTAGCCCTAACCACCCACTTCCTCCCCACCGGCCCCTTCTCGGACCAAACCCGACACAAAACAACCGCGGGAGTCGCAACAGGCCTGCGATAAGAAACATTCAGCGTAGCCGTAACAGCCGCCTCCTTCAATTCCTTCTCCACCAATTCATGAATCGTATCGTCGAAAATGAGGGCTAGTATCCCGCCGTGACAGTAACCGGGGTGGCCGTCTAGTCCGGCGCCGAGGGAAACGAGGAGGCGCACCTCGCCGCCTGTTTCGGTGGGCGGACTTGCGGTTGGGGGTTTGTAGAAGGAAGCGTGGGCGCGGATGGTCACGTCGGTCCAGAGGGTTTCGGTAAAGAGGCGGTTGGTGGAGGTTGAGCGGGTGGTTTGGGGGTGCCAGGACGGGGAGGATATGATTTGTTGGCACCAGGGGTAGGGAGTGAAATCGATGAGGTGCTCTTGTCGAGACATCTTTCTTTATGGGGTGTTTGGGTTGAAAATTGGACGTAGGGAAGATGACGGAATGAGTGGTGAGGGGAGGATGCATGGTTTCTGTCAAGGGAGTATATATATGTAGACATGTAAATAGAGGTATTACCTCTAGCCAGTCATGGGTTTTGAAAACTATCTGTTGCCGTATTGAGCTAGTTTACTGAGTGTTCATTAGTAGCGAATGTCAGATGGGCAAACCGCCGAGGTAGTTACAGACAATCACATTGCGTGGCACCTAGGTACTAGGCTAGTACACTGCATCCCCGGTTTTACGTACACGATCCATCTCACCTTCCGCTGTTCTCTACCTAATTGCGAATGGTGAGTTTCTCCAACTGTTCAATCGTCGCAGTCACGTTCTGGTACTCGACTTCCAAATCCCTAAGCTTTTTCAGCTCGCTTGCCTTGACTGCTTCCTCGGCCTTCTCTGCCCACCCCTCTGCCTCAATGGCACGCCGTTGTCGTGATAACGTATCGGTAATCCTCCCCAACTGCTTCCGAGCCTTATCCACAGCGTCAGTGATACTAATGCGTCCATTGATTTCCAGAAATACCGCTGTAGATGCTGAGCTCACGTAAACAGCACATCCTACAGGAGGCTGTTCGTTGGGACCAATGACTTGCACAGCAGCAAGACCCTTTCCGGCCAGTGACTTGATGCTCCCAGCTTCACTACTAATAAGCTCATAGGAGTGAGCGTCTGTTGCATGGATGAATACTGTAGGTCCATGTATTAGGATTAACTGGAAACAATAGTCTGGAGGAATAAACTTGCCTTTAGCGTTGTCCTGAATACCATATCCAGCTATCAGTGAGCGGATTCCCTTGACTGATTTTACTACAGTCTCGAATGCACCCTCGGAAGTATCATCTGCGAGGGACGCATTATATTTGGGGTATGATGCAATGACGATGGACGGAGTAGAATCGTCAGGTCTTCTGGGCAGGCGCTGCCACAGCTCCTCACTGATAAATGGCATAAAAGGATGAATCATTCGAAGACCTGCTTCTAAGGCATTGTAAAGTGTATTGAGAGCGGATCGCGCTTCCTTTTCCGAACCATGCTGGATAAGAAATTTGGAGTATTCCTGATTTTCTCTGTTAACCGGTGACCAATGATTTTGTAAAGCAACTACTGACAATGAACACGTCGCACAAATTATCATACCAATACTGATAGACAATCTGTGCCGCGCGGGAGAACTCCTTCTCGCTCAGAGCTCGGTCAATATTTTGTGAAGCGGTATTGAGTTTATGTAGCATCCACCGCTCGCCCAGCGATTCGTCTCCCGTCTTATCCAAAGTTGATGGAGGTGTATACTGGTCTCCGATTTTGCCCAGCACGAATTTGGCTGCCTGATAGATCTTGTTACAGAATCTCCTGTACCCGGCCATAACCTTAACATCGAAAGATATATCGCCGCCTGTCATATAGTGTGAGATTTAGTACTGTTTGAAGCATGGAAGGAGGTGTTATTCTTACCCCCTGTGGTATACTGGATTAGGGAGAATCGCAAGGCATCAGCTCCACACTCGGGAATTCCATTTGGGAAGGCTGCTTTTTGATACTTCATGGCCACACCCAGCTCCCGGGGATCTAGGTTTCCCTGCTGAAGTTTATCGTGCAGTTTCTGGAGGCTAATACCCTCCATGACGTCGACAGGATCAATCACATTACCGAGCGACTTCGACATCTTTCGGCCCTCAGAGTCACGGATGAGGGAATGACAGTAAACCTCTTTAAACGGCACTTTGCCAGTGAGCTTTAAACTTAGCATGATCATCCGTGCTACCCAGAAAAACAGAATATCCCATCCAGTCTCCAACAATGATGTTGGAAAGAGGTTGTCAAGATCATGGGTTTGCCGCGGCCATCCTAGTGTTGAAAATGGCCAGAGACCCGACGAGAACCAAGTATCCAGAACATCTGGATCCCTTCGGAGGGTGAAGCGTTGATTAGGAAATCTTGCCTCTGCTTTCTGGCGAGCTTCCTCCTCCGTTCGGCCGGCAACCCAAAGGTTATCGTTTGTTTCATCTGGTAGTTGACCTTCTATGTCAACGAAATAAGCAGGTATTTGGTGGCCCCACCACAGCTGGCGAGACAAACACCAATCTGTAATGTTTTCTAGCCATCGAAAATAGTTGTCCCTTGCTGCTTCTGGCTGGATTATGATCTCTCCATCCTGAACCACTTTCACGGCGTCATCGGCTAGCTCCCTCATTCTCATCCACCACTGTGGCTTCATTAAGGGTTCAATAACATCCTTCGATTTAGAGCATAGTGGCACTTTCATAGGATTGCTCTCTTTCTTTACAAAGAGCCCTAATTCTTTCAATTCCTCCACCACAGCGTACCGAACATCAAAACGTTTGCGTCCCGCGTATTTTCCGGCGTTGGAATTCATAGTTCCGTCGTCATTAAGAATGTTAATAAATGGAAGATTGTGGCGCTTGCCAATGGCATAATCGTTCGCATCATGCGCAGGGGTAATCTTAACTGCTCCAGTGCCAAATTCCGGATCCACGTAGGAATCTGCGATGATTGGGAGTAGTCGGTCCACGATAGGATGCTGAATCTTCTTGCCAACCAAATTGCTATAACGAGGATCATCAGGATGAACAGCCACTGCTGTATCGCCTAGCAAGGTCTCCGGTCGGGTTGTCGCAATTTCAATTGTTTCCTGACTCCCCTGCACCCGATACTGGAAATAAGTGAGAACTCCAAATTCCACTGGGCGCTCGTAGCCTGGAACTTCCAGCAATGTCCGTCCTTTCAGCTCCTTGCTGTCCACTTCCAGATTCGATATTGCAGTATTAAACTGTACACACCAATTTACCAGGCGACTCGATCGATAGATATAACCTTCTTCGTGTAGACGAACGAAGCATTCGGTCACGGCAGCCGATAAATTGTCATCCATTGTGAAGGCCTCGCGGGTCCAGTCAAACGAGCCTCCTAGCCTTTTGAGAACGGCATTAATCTTGGAATGGTATCTATGAGATTCCGCATTGTCAGCAGCTCCACAAAAGTGATGGTTTCGAGGCATTAGGAAACAACAAATCATCTTGCTTTTAGATCGCATGCACACGAGCGACCGGGGAAAACGTACTCCTCTTTCCATTCCAACGCTCTATTAGTGAACTGCTCCCGTCCAAGATCATGTCTCGTCTTTCGCTCTCTCCTCCACAGCATATTTTCAATCACGCTCTGGGTTGAAATACTAGCATGATCACATCCGGGCAGGTATAATGTAGTATGCCCCTTCATCCGATGCCACCGGATCAAGCAGTCCTGCAATGCTGTTCCCAACGCATGTCCGCAATGCAAAGCACCCGTCACATTAGGAGGAGGGATCGGAATGACATAGGTTCCCTCCGGCTTCGGCTTTTGTTCTTCGCCGATGAATTCAGGCTGGAAAAAGCCTTCCGCCTCCCACCAATCATTCCACGCCGACTCGACAACTTTGGGAATATACGCTGAATGAAACGGTCCGTCGAGGGGCTTGAGGACTAGAATGGCACCAGAATCAGCGGACATCTTTCCGGAATTTGGAATATCTCACTTTTCTTCTTTCCTTTAGGCGTCTCTTCGGTGTACTGCGGCAATGTCTTCTTCAGCTGATGGTCTTCCGCGGTGTCTTTAGGCTTTGCCGATGCAGTGGCAGCAGCAGCACTTTTTTTTTAGCTTCTTTCTCCGCGAATTTCTTCGCTTTTTCGGCTTTCTGGCGCTCCTTGTCCGCTGCGAGAGAGAGGATGGTCAGGTTGTTTAATCAGACAAGACGTTTTCAACTTACCCTCTCGCTTTGCCTTCACCGCTGCCTTGTTATTGGCATTTTGGTCTATACCAGCTCCGGTGGCTGGCGGGTTGGTGGACATCCTGCAAATGGGTCTCCGAGGCACTGAGCAAAGTCTTGTACGGCGGGGGCTTCTTAAGAGACGAACAACCATGGACCCTCCCACGGTAGGAAGCGAACAGGTCAGCGGGCGAAATAAACAAAGAAAGGAATAGAGGGGTTGCTGAGATGGGCAAAGAAGAAATAAAATGATTAGATTAATCCATTCGCCAGGTCTTATTTTATTAGTGACTCACAAGACAAAAAGACCAAGGATGCTTTAAGATACGGTAATACGGATAAATCTGGGTATTGTACTGGTAATATTACTGCCGTATTGTATATATCGTTATCCAATACTGAATGTAACCCTAATCCTAGCTCGAACAGGTCTCCGTATGTATCGGTCTCTGTTCATTTCGAGTTGACCTACCCAGGTCAACTCGAAATGAACAGGCATTAGCAGCTTGTATCAGTTGGGCCATGCCATATACTTGCTTCCATTTGTGGGTGGGCGGGACCTAGCAACCTAGTAGTATATATATTCTCTGATGGGGAGATGTAATTTGCTAACTATTCTATCTGCCTATTCAACTTCACAGCTATGGAATTCAACCACGACATTATCATCATCGGCGCAGGGATCTCCGGGATCAATGTAGCGTACCATGTGCAAACCGAATTGCCAAACTATTCATACATTATTCTCGAGGAGCGGGAGGCAATGGGTGGGACATGGGATCTATTTCAATATCCAGGCATTCGGTCCGACTCAGACCTCATTACCTATGGATTCTCATGGTATCCATGGAATCAGAGCCGCCCCATCGCCGAGGGGAAAGCAATTGCAACATACATCAAAGAGGCTGCTGCACAATTTGGTATTGATCAACATATCCATTTTCAGCATCGAGTTACCCAAGCGGCATGGTCAGATACAAAGCAGAAATGGACATTGATAGTTGAACATGCTGGACTGGAGAAGTTGTACACAGCTACTTTTGTGGCATTTGGCACGGGATACTATGACTACAATCAACCGTTACCTGCGGATATTCCCGGTATGGACCAGTTCACTGGGACATTGATCCACCCTCAGTTCTGGCCTAAAGAGGTCAACTACACGGACCAGAAGATTGTTGTCATTGGCAGTGGTGCCACGGCTGTAACTCTCATTCCCAAACTTGCCGAGACGGCAGAGCGCGTTACCATGCTCCAGCGCAGTCCGACCTATATTCTTAGCGTTCCCAACGCCGAGATCAAAAAGACATGGATAGACTACCTTCTTCCACGGACCATCGCACAGAGCTACCATCGTCTGAGCTGGTTCCTTCCACATCGACTGTTCTTCCTTTTCTGTCAAAGCTTTCCCCAGTTCTCGGGGTGGCTTCTCCGCTGGCGAATGATCAAGGAACTTCCAGACAACATTTCCCATGATCCTCATTTCAGCCCTCGCTATGCTCCATGGGACCAACGCCTCTGTGTTTCACCAGATGGAGACTTCTATCGAGCCTTGTATACGGGAAAGGTGGACATTAAAACAGACAGTATTGAAGCTGTTACCTCATCAGGAATCAAACTAAAATCTGGAGAGTTCCTTGACGCAGATATAATCATCACAGCAACAGGTCTTAAGCTACAACTGGCAGGGGGTGTAAAACTTGAAATCAACAAAGAACCCTGTATCTTGGCAGAGAAATATCTCTGGAGAGGCATCATGTTACAGGATGTACCGAATGCGTTTTTCTTTATTGGTTACACAAATGCATCCTGGACGTTGGGAGTAGATGCGAGTGCAGCATTCAGCACTCGGCTCATAAAACACTTGTCATCAAAAGATGCAACGGCAGCTGTGCCCCGGGTCCCAGACCGACTGAAGCTCCAACCGCGAAGAGTATTGGATTTAAGTTCGACTTACATCACAAAGGCGGATAAGAACATGCCTAAGGCAGCGGATCAGGGGTCCTGGTTGCCCAGAAATAACTACATCTCCGATTTGTGGTTTGCAAAGTATGGCCGGCTTAATGATCTAGAAATCATAACTCAACGCAGAGGTGGAAAGGACTAATGGATCATATGCACATAGTTTCAATCAAATACACGTATAATATAACTAGACGTCGCCATGACCCTCAACCCGACCCTCTACCCTCAGAGGGTTTGCTCGAGGGTCACGCGTTATGACCCTCGCTCACCCGCATTTACAAGATTTTTCTAAACCTTTCCTGAATAGGCTGCATAAAAATGATGCTTCATCATGGAAACTTACTGTTATTTACATATGCTCTGGTATTCATATCTATTAATCGCGTTTATTTTCGATATAAATTCAACGTCAAATGAAATGCCTTTGTCTTTGGCCTAGTTGATTAGAAGCTAGTCTTTGGGTCCATTATTTATTCGGAAAACGTGGTTTTGGCGTAATTCAGAGTTCATATAACCAGGTACGGTGGTAAGATAGAAGAAATATATATTTATTATAAATAGAGATACTAGTCTAATGTAATGGGGGAGTCAACAACTGCTATACCAGTTGTTTTAGTAAAGCCGTCACTGAATTAATTAACCATCGGAGATTAAGAATTTAATGAACACTACGCCTGGGGTTTTGACCAAGAGCTCTACTAGTTACTGATCTGGGGGATTGAGTGCTGCTATACGTTGACCTTAATTTATACTGGCCTCGCGTCATGTGATTATATAGTCTATCCAGACGTCAACGAAACGGGGGAAGGCGAGGGATAGTCTGATTTTGATGTAAGCCAAGTGTGTGCGATGCATCACAGCCATTATAATCTTACTTCTGACTTCATAGAGGCTGAGTGGTCCCTGCAGGTTGAATATCCTGATCTGGACTGGAATTTGCTGAATACTTGGTCGGCTTTTGTGCCGGGTTCTGATTCAGAGGAAAGTTGAATTGTTATATTCCTATTTGAAAGCTTGGGGTTTATATGGACAGTGAACGCCAGATTGATTTCCAATAAATTACGTTCTCGAACATCTATATCATGTGTACAGCACTTCTGTTGTGAAATTTTGACACTGTCCACAATGCACAGGGGAAATGAGCCAGCCTTTGCTCTTATGCAAGTTCCCTGACTAACACCCAGCATTTCATAACAATGCAAGAAATAGCCACCGTAGTGAGCATAGAGAAGATGTTTGCAACGGAAAACTAACAAGCCTATATAAGAATAGACCGCCTCCTCTGCTACTTCTTGGCACTGCCCTTGTCCAGCACACTCCGGAATACCGCCACCGTGTGTTCCCAGGCTCTCTGGGGCGCGGTGGGCAGAAACCGGAACGGATATCTGCATTATGAGTGCTCTTGGGTCGAAGGAGTGGACTCAGCGGCAGTGGGAGGAGCTGGCTGCAAAGGCTGGACTGCAGCTTCAAGCTCTCTACCAGTACACCTGGCCAGTGGTAAATGCGGCCATGGTGTTTGGCCTGCAGTAGCTACCAATACGTAGAATAAATGTGCCTCCATGGACCTCGGTGCACAATGTATCTGTTGTAGAATATGTTAATAGTGTTACAGTACTCTGTAAATATCAAGAAACCGAAATGCTACTCGAATGGTCAGCTCCAAAGTATGGCTCACTATGATAGAGCGCCATTTGATCAGAACCTAATGATATGTCTCATACATTGGACCCGGGTGCTGTTGTCTGCTTGAGTGCTAGTTATCTCTCCTACATAGCAGTGGGTAATTAATGTTCATCTATCCTTCTTATATCCAATCCACGCAATTAAAGCCGATGATTGCTCACAGGAGTCCTAGATATCTGTAATACACCAAGTGTAAGCCGTTCCACTCTTCCCTGGTTCCAGCATTAATTTTCTTTTTTAATTCTTTATTTCACGCCCGAGTTGGGATCCGGCCTTCGCTAGTTACTGCAGTAGAACAGGTAGAAAAAAATAAATAGACGGCTGCCCGGGCCTAACTAACCGACTGATTGCCTAAATGACCGACCATAATCTTTGATTTTTTTATGATCCCCCTACCCCTGAATTTTGAGAAGCATATCCATTTAGGCTGAGTAGCCGGAGGAATTTTACAAAAAGATCAGGCTAAATTTTTCAAGTTCCCCAAGCTTAGACCAACGGAGTCTCTAGTTACAGATATTGAGGATGCACTTTCCTATAAAAGCGAAGTGCCGTGACACCCTACATGTACTATCAAGGTAGAAGATATACCCAAAGCGGCAGATGCAATACAACATCTGGCAACCAAGAACCTATGCTTAGAAGTGCCCCCTTAGCTTAGATAATCTCTAGATGATCAAGCAGGTATTGTGGTCTTGCGCAATAAATCTCGTCGTACATGCCTTAAAGTCCTATCAGAAATTGTCATGATCTATGCTACGCTAGCTGAATACTTAAGCCCGGAATTAGCAAAACCAAAATTGCGCCGCATCCCCCGGATCACAGTCCATCTGACATTCCTTGTCTTGTCTTTGAATTGGGAAGTTCAAAGGACGTTAATCAGTTTACGACTCATAGAAAGGTGGGCCTCTCAGGTTCTAACTTCAGGGGTGTTGCATGCTTTTTTGATGCTAAGCTCTTGCACATCTTCGTGGTCGAGGCAGTGCAAAGCCTAGTTCCACTGGGCGCATCACACATACCGCCGTCATTTGGGTTCAAATGCTTCCTTGGTGGCCTCGCACCCCCTACTTTCTAAAATTCAAACGTTAGCTCTTCTACCCCAGTATCAAATGCGTCAGTGATGTCGTCAGTACCATTCATTCGAGCAAGGCTATCCTATCAAAAGGATACACTATCGAGTCTCCGAATCTGTTACCGTAGCTCAATGCCGTTGATATTGGCACTGCCGGTGCTTCGAGCCAATCAGCAGGTACAATACTGATTGGGTTGCCGCTGGTCCCCAGAACCTCTTGAGCAGAAGATCCTAATGCTGTATAACAGCAGTAGTTGAACACTGTCAATAGTAGGAGGTTGGACTCGTCGTGACGTATTGATTAAAGACCGTAAAAGGGTTGTACGAATAAAGGTGTCCTCGTGCAAGCTAACGCAACTATCCACGTGGCCAGTATGCCTATGCCATGCATGACTCCGAACTTCAACTTTGCACGTTGAGTGGTTGGCACTTTCGAGGGTTCCATAGCTTTCAATGATGTTTTCTGCAGCTCTTTGTTATAGTCATCAAGGCAATGTCACATCCATGTCCCATGACCTTCCGTTTGCACTGACCGGTTCTGGCTTGTTCGGTACCAAGCTAGTAGGCGAGATACACAAAAGCTCTCCTCCAGCGCTACCTGGTGAAGTGCAGGTGCCGGGATGACTCATGGTACTGAAAATAGAGTCCCAGTGAGGTCGAAAAATATCTTCGCCCTGCAGTGTCTCCATCCACAGGATACACTTGATGTGGACGAGAACATCATCCCAATTACTCAGCTGTAGAGAAACAACCATGGTCTGCGCTTTCTCCACAAACCACTGATAATCGGGTGTACCGGTTGAGGCTACCATGCCGATTGCAAGAAGCCAAGCATCAAGCGAACCATACACACGAGGAGTCGATTCGAGTTGCATGAGGTGGTCTATGAATCGGATGACAATGCTATTCATCATGGCGGCATGTGAGTAATACGTTGGCCCATGAATGATAAACATGTAGAGGATGATTGCGTAGCGAATGCATTCGGTGATCGATGACGACTGAGGGCTTTCCGTGCCCGGTGCTGTAAGTAGAAGTCGGTGTATGACAAAGCAAGTGAGGTCATGAAGTCTTGTGGTTGGAAAATTGATCCGCTGCGCCTGCTGGAAGGCACTACGAAGACGGATGAAGACATTCCTGACTGCATAATCAACATTCATACCGATGAGCTCCGACGAATCATCATAATGGGTGGTGGGGTCCAACTGCCATTCTGGAATCGGCGGTATGCCGTCTCCAATTCCGACATCATCTTGGGTCTCGAATTGAGGGTGGCCCATTACGATCATCGATACCCTATGATGCATGTAAATAATACACACTCAAGGTGAACAAGGAGGTACTTACCAGCTAATCATCCTCGCGGTAAGCGGGCTAGTTTGCCTCACTGAACTGATACCCCCTCGCATGTTGACTAGTCTTATTGCTCCGTCAACATGCATTTGACTGACGTTGATATTGCCTTTACCAAACTGAAAGTGGTGTGTTATCAGTAATCAATTGAGAAGATGAGACTTAAGAGATAAGATAGTCCGGGACGGTATCTCACTTCAATAGCTGCCAAGGTGATTACAGAGTTCATGGTTCCATCTTGTACCGCCAGCGATGTATCTTCAACTTTGCGCCTGAGCAATGAGACAGAATCGGCCATGAGAAGTTCCGATGCTTGAAAGCCCTTCTGGGCCAACAACTCCTCATCGAGACATGCTGTCTGCAGCGAGACATGAAATAGTGCCGGGTCGCCCAGAGCAAGCGGCCACCAAGAGATAAGAAATGGATTTGTCGTTGGATTAAGGTCGAGCGGATAATATTGAAAGGCGATCTTGTGGATAACTGAATTTGGTAAGCCCAGCTGTCATCTACAACGTTGAATGAAGCTGTACGTACAGCTGTAGATGAGACGTTCTACGCGTTCCCGGGGAAGTCTCGTCTGCGGGTATGAATCGAAAGGATCGAGAGATCCAAGTCTGTAGGCGTTTAAAGCGCCGGATCCATCGAGGGGTCTTGGTGATCCGCCATCTCCCCGCCCGGGAGCTGCCGGCAACGCCGTCAAAGGCTCATTCGCATAGTTGCACTGGACATTGCGCTTGATACAGCGAGAACAGCGTGGTGTGCGGAGGTCGCAACTATGTTTGGATTTGGCACATGCAGTACAGGATCGGCGAAGAGTTTGGCGCATTTTGGGGAAGGGAAGTTGAGTGGAAGTGTAGGTGGAGACAGCCGGAAGACTCAGGTACCAAAAGGTACGTGCTGTCGAGCCGCGCGCCAAGAGAACAAAATGCCCATAAATAACTCTTACATCCCCACTTTTACCCGAGATACAATCTGTATATCGAGTTCTCAAGCCTCAATTTCTAATACATTAAAGGCGATATCTCTTTCTCTCAAAA